TCTGAGTTTTCCAAGAAAATTACCGAAAAAGGAAATTTTTTAAGGAAATTTAGGATCAGCGGAAAGAGTTTTTTTTATTACTCTTATTTTTTAATTGTTTATTATTATTATTTTTTTTTCTAATATATTAAGTCAATAATTTATTGTTTTTCAAAATAATTTATAATAACAAACTATTGATAATAATTCTAATAAACAAAAATTTTAATATCAATTTATCAAAAAAAAAAAATAAAATATTGTTTATTAAATCAAATTTAGAATATTAAATTAAGATTCTATTTGTTTAATCTAAATTAACTTATAAGACTTCATATATTTTTAAATAGTATGGTTCTTTAACTAATAATATATACAAATAAGTTAATTATTATATAAAAATCTATATAATATTATAGTTATTTATTTGATATTTCAATAAAAAACATATAATAATATTATTGTACTGTAGATTTAAAAAAATAATAATTATAAATTAAAAATATTAATAAATTTAATTGAATATTAGAGAATATAAAAAGAAAAATAAATTTTATTACATATTACTTACGAATCAAAAATCAAAAATTATTTTTTAATTAGATTTATTTAATTATTTGAAACAAGATTAAATTAGATTAAATTGTATAAAAATGGAACTTTTGATTTTTTATTAATTAGAAACTGAAATTTATAATTGTATTATTGAAAGAATTGTATAAAAAAAAACTTCTAAATAAATTTATTATAAATTTTTTAAAACTCTTTTACCTTGACAAATTTTAGAACTCTTATTTTTATAGCTTAAAATATTTCAATTTAATACTTTACTTAAATAAAAATTAATTAATAGAAATTGATTCAATATCATAATAATAATAAAAAAGGCAAAATATCTTTTTTCAAGATCTGAACAAATAATATTTGAGAATATTGAAGTGTATAATATATTTTGTTAGATATATACAAAAAAATACTATCTTGATAAAACAATAAAACTTGTAAACTTAGTACTAACTAGTTTAGTTATGTTATTGATGACTGTGTATTAACCATCCAGTACTTAGTTAGATCTACCTACTCAAGGAGTGATAATAGATCTAACTAGGATAAATCATAACAGGTTATTATTAATCTGTATATATATAGAAATATATAGTTTATATGAGATGATTGATGACATGTTATAGGATTTAATTATCTACAGTAATAAAGAGCATATATTTAATACCAGTTGTGGTTTTTAAAAAAAAAAAAAAGATATAAACATATTATTTTATATATAATAGAATCAAATTTATATTTTTTTATCAATAATTTTATTTTTGTGAATTCTTTATTAAATTTGACACATCCGTATCACCATTACATATACAGTATCTCCCCCAACTCTTTTTTTTTTTATGACAGTAGCACTTTATATATGCCGGTCAATTAGAATTGCAAAATTAGATAAAGTGAATCACCTTCCTGATAATGGTGGTAAACTGATTTTTTGGTTTATTTTTCTCTGAGAAAATTTGTTTTACAATCGTTTGTATTATAAAAATACTCTTAGTCTTGAATCAGATAAATTATGAACCTAATTTCGTAAATTATATAGACATTTGACACTATTCGTACATATTTAATTGAATCTCAACTGATCCGAGTCACAGAAATTATCGGTTCAAGTTTCCGACCAGGCTGGACCAAGTTAAAGAAATTCGTCTATAGCCTTAATGTGCTAGTTTACAGCCTAAGAACTTTAATTTGAATATATTCAAAAGTCCGAACTTTGAAGGATCAATGCAAACGTGATTCAAATTTAAGTAATAGATAGAAAAATTGATATGTATCATAAGATCATGACACCTAAAGATTTCTGCTGAGTAAAAAAAAACGAGGGTTTGTGAAGAAACGAGCATCAATACTCTCGATACCCGTCGTCATAGATAAATTGTCAATGTAGTAAATTAATAGCATCATCTTACTAACCATCAACTTTCAACCCTTGTCCCCGCCCTGGGATATTAAGTCTCTTTTTGAGCTTACATCTATGGGCTTGATTTCCTCTCCATCAGCGACAGACGATTTTGATTTGTCTAAAGCAGTATTATCTTTGTTGGAAGATAACAAAGGCCCAAATTTATTCTCATAGTGTTTCAGCCTTGACTGTAGTTGGAATATCAAATCCTGAAGGCGTTCAATTTCACTGTCAAAAGCAATAAACTGGTTTTCATAATCTGCTTAAGGGTGGTGAAATAAGTATATATTACGTAATTAAATAAAGGTGCGCAGAAATATATTGAACATGCACCTTCAAGTCCGTGTCTCAATTCATTAATTAATTTTCTCTGCAAAGCAATCTCTACTTCATACTGTTCCACGCGACCCTGACGAAGCTGTCGTCCCAATTCTTCATTCTCATCTTGTAGGTCCTTTAATTTTGTGACAAGATTCTTACCAGTAATACTACAAATATTATCAAGTGTTAAATATAATACAGTCAATATCATGCATACACATTCTATTAACCTGTTTGGAGTAAATCCTACGCCAGCCAATTCTCGCTGCAAGTCTTCTATCGTTTTTTCCTTTTCCTCCAATTCCTTCTTCATGGCACGGAATAATAAATTAATTGCAGGGTCAAGAAATTTTTTACGAAGCGATTGATCGAATGAGAAATCAGGTGTGAGAGTTTGGGAAAGGTTATGAAGTTCTCCCTGGAAAGTCGCAACGTAGAAAACTACCATTAAACAAGGGATCCCGAATGACATATGAGAATAAATTCAATGATAATTGCCAGCAAGTTTTGAATTTCCTCTTCTTTCTTTGTCAATCTAATCGTCAATTCTTGCTGTGATATTTGTGCGTCGTGTGTGTGTGATTGAGTTTGCCCCGGATGCAATGACGAAACCAAAGTCGATGTTGATGTTGAGGAACTTGGATGTGTTTGAATATTACTTCCCTTTCCTTTGGTAGAAACCGATGGTTGTACTGAGGGTACGGATTCTCTTTCTTTGTCAATATCTGAAGAAATTACTAATACATTAGACGTTGAAATTTGACTCGATGGTTGTGTAGCACCGAACCCAATACCATGCGCGCTGGTCTTATTCTGCTGAGTGGTCGCAGATGTCATTCTGGGTGAGGACTCTGATTTTATCGAGTTGCCGCCAGAACTTCCGGGACCATTGAAATTATCTTGTTTAATCTATTTAAATTACAATACTTTAATTTATCGAAATCGTTCGGTAATCAACATTAGGTCGTTTCTTAAATTTAACCTTCTTGAGCGGTTCATTAATGCTAACCCGGCGTTCTTTATAAAATATTAAGTTAGCTATTTGCACCGATTCTTAAATAAAAATGCAGCAAAAGATTTACCGTCAGCGGGGGACGTGGAAAGTCTTCGTTTTTTTGGCGGAGAGGCAGAAACAGACATTAATGTGAGTTTGAATTCAAAAAGTTCGAATTTAAATCTTTTAATATTATGTTATGTTGCTGTCAACAATAACACCTTGTTTTGGGTGACAATGATAATTACGTAATATAGTAAATTTTATAATAAAAGTCAGAATATTTTTATTATTAAAATTAAAATATGACTTTTCAAGTAATATAATCATCAATTGCTCCTTAAGGAATTTATCACATTTAAATGACGCCTAGTGACGTATCGTTAATAAAAGCTTGAATCGATATTGTCGTTGTCTTTTTGGTTCTGTAATTATACAAAGAATTCAAAATGGTACAAACATTATTTACATCAACGGACTAAATCTATCTTCTTTCTCGGTATTGACAAACGTGTTTCTTATATATTTCGTAGTACGGAGGAGGTTACGACGATTTTGAACATGTTATGAACTTCGGCTTGCCAATACATCAGAACCCGAATCGAAGGTTTGTCGAAACATATAGATGTTATTCTGTAGCCTTCTTACAGGGGAAAGAGAGAGAAAATGTCAACTTTGGAGGAAAAAGTAAGTTAACGAAGCTTTGATCTTGTCGTTTTGAAATCTGCAAAAATGAATTCTACTGATTCTCGAGCGTGGTTTAATTTACTTCAATAGTCATTTTACCCCCTTCTGCGTTGGCCAAATTAGGCAAGTTGATTCCATCTTATTAACCGGTGTTTGTAGATTCTATTCTTTATTGATCTATTTCTTCAATCATACAGCTAGCTTGAATATAGAATATCCAATGTTATTTGAATTGAATAACCCTAGCAAACAAAAACACTCTCATGCTGGAGTTCTAGAGTTTATTGCGGAGGAAGGACGCGTTTATCTGCCTTATTGGGTAATATCTATTTGTTAAATAAACATTTAACGACATATATCGTTAAGGTCTCCGATTTTATATTTGACATCATTTTTGTAACGATTAAATTAGATGATGCAAACCTTATCATTGGAACAAGGAGATTTCCTCGAAATTAAAAATGCCACGTTGCCTTTGGGAACTTTTGTCAAGATCCAACCACAAACTGTGAACTTTTTGGATATCAGTGATCCAAAGGCTGTGTAGGTGAATTTGAATTAATTTCTGCGGTGACACGTGCATATGTGATATTCATATATTTTATTAAACAATATGGTATAGGCTTGAAAATGCTTTTCGAAATTTCTCAACTTTAACGAGGGGAGACATTATTCAGATTAATTATAACAATAAGATATATGAAATTTTGGTTTTGGAGGTGAAACCCTCAAGTGAAAGTGTTGACGGAATTTCTATTGTTGAGACTGATCTAGAGGTACCGTTTTAGTCATTACTTCAAATTTTATTGGAATTTATATTTAAATTCTTTTAAATCGCAAACAGGTTGATTTTGCACCGCCAGTTGGGTATGTCGAACCAAGTCCCCAACCAAAAGATACTATGGTAATTTTTTCTTTTTGTTATATCATTTTTAGAGTTCTAGTTTCTTAAAAATTAAATTTTAAAGTCGTTTATTTCTCAAAGGCTAATAGGATTAAGATAGGAGAGTCCGTTTTAGAATCCGAACGTTGGCTCGCTTTTCAGGGTACTGGGAACCGACTGAACGGAAAACTAGTAAAAACATCCTCAGCAAATGCTAGGTTGCAGTTAATTAAATAACATGGTTTATTCTTATTTTTCCGAAGGACATTTAATGATCTAGATATTTTGGTTTATTTTCACATTCTAGTAATCCTAATTCAAATAAACAAGATCCGGACAGTGGAAGGAATGTCCCAGCACCTTTGAGATTGCCATTTGGAAAATTATTTTTCGGGTATAAAGTTGTGCCTTTGAATGAAAAAAAAGAAGTCAAGGATAGTGTATGTATCAAGGAAGTAGTGTTTTAAAAATGTCATAGTATATTCTTAATATTTGTTATATTTTAGAATGAATCGTTTTCTGGAGAAGGTCAGGTTTTACGTCCTTCAAGGTCAAATTCAAATCGCACAGATTCCCCAACACCATCTACTTCAACAGCAGCACCTACTGAATCTACAAGTTCGCATAGCAATCATAATGATGAAATATTTGGTGGAAAAGGTAAGAAATTATGAATTGTTAAAAGGATGAATCTTGATTTTGACTGTTAACAACTATATTGCAGGTAATACGTTAAAGTAAGAGAGATACGGAGAATTCTAAATGTGAATGTATTTCAAGTAATTCGATGAAAAAATTTAATAATAATAGTCGTAATAGCTTTTTAATGCAAAAGTCATGTGTCCTTGATATGACGCCAATATCAAAATTAAAAATTATTAATTTTTTTATTATTTTAACTTTGTGATATAATAAAAATTATCTTGTGTAATTTTTTTTTTTACATTCCTATATACTTTTGTTTTGATCAAAGTTTTATATTCTTGTTTATACAGTATATAGTTTGAAGAAAAAAAATTTTTTTAACTTGTCTTTAGACTAATATGGTTTGTCTTTATTTTCTAAAATATCTATGATTTATATCATTTTTACATATTAACTTATAAAGTATAAATTTTCTAAATACAATTTGGGATTGCTTTTATAATAATATAAATTATTTTTTATTTATTAAATTCTTTATTATTGTAATTGTTTAAAGTTTTGTTTAATAGATTAAAATTCAAATTAATCTTTTATTTTTTTGATTTCATTTTTCAATAATCTTCTAACATTTATTATTTTTTTGAATTCATTTTTCAATAATCTCCTATATATTTTCTTTCTTTGAATTGAAATATTTTTTAAGACTTCTTTTTTCAGATAAAATTATATTTTTTATTTCTTTTAAGATCATATTATCTTTATTTATTTTTTTTTTAAAATGGTGACTCAATCTTGTTTTATTAAAGTTTCAAGTCAGGGCAAATGAATGCAGATACAAAAAATAGTTACTAATAAAACATTCCTAGAATTGTCTAAAAGTAGTTAAAATTTTATGCTACTACTATTACTTTGATTCCATAATCTGGTTACTCTTCGAGAGCTTCATCAATTGAAGGTGTACTGCCTATTCCTTAGTTGTTTTCAGTATCTTCATATTGTGAAATTCTAACCACTCCAATCCATGGAATGACTTGTTGTTAGAGAAAATTGCTCAGATTAATCTAATTTACACATCAAGAAAAAATATTCGTCAATCCTCCTAGATTCCCCCTAACTAATATACTCAGGTGAAACATGTCATCCCCTCCAAAAAAATTGACCCCTTTATATCTCGCCTGCCATAAAACCCAACTTTGTCACAAGGACTTTATTTCAAATCTTTACCTATTCGACAGAACTGAAAAAAAAACCTACTCAGTGATCAGGAGTGGGTAACTACAACTATAAAATCCAGTTATAGTATCTTGTGACCTTTATCATGGTCAGACAGACTCTTTCTTGAAAGAACCAATGATGTAAATAGAGAAATATTCTGTACCCACCTACACCAGCACAATGACTTATGGTGAATCCTAGATTCTTATGGAGCTAAGAAAATGTATTTAGACATAGGAAGTGATCAATAGGAGCTTGTTTATATTTTTTACTAATATAAGCTCTATCTGTCCAATTACAGTGTGAGAAATTTTGTGCTACTCAAAATTCAGAATTAAACTAAGATAGGCAAAATCCTTCAGAAAAAATCAAGAATAAGCACTATAAGAAGTAGATATAATAACAAGAGAGTAGAGAAGTTGTCACTTATTATTTACAAGCTTCTGTAATATTTCTCTATAGTGTGAGATGATGACATATTAGTTCTTCTTCCATTTGAAACTTTCTTGTTATTGATAAAAAAGATTTTTTCTTGACCTTTAAGATTACTAGAGATCAAGTTTTTGTTTAAAGAGAATAAATAATAGATGAGAGGAGAAGAAGTAGTTGATGACTCTTGAAGCTTCTTCAAGTTGGTTTAAGGAGAATAATAAGACTTTATTAATATAGAAGTATAAAAACTTCTTGCAAACATCTTTTTTGTGTGTGGTTAGAGGATCAGCAGAAAGAGTTGATTTGATTATATTATCTTTATAATTGTATAGATTTTTATATTTTTTTATTTTTCAAGTAATTTATTATTATTTTTTTTTTCTAATATTCATAACTAAATTATATAATAGTTTATTAATCTTTTAGAAGACCTATAAATCGATAGTGCAGTGGTTAGCACTCCATAGATCAGATCACAAGATACAAGTTCAAATCTCGCAAGGGGCATAAACAATTATCTGTTGGTGTAACTATATATAACTGACATTTCTGAATATAGCTACAGATCAACAGGGAGGGAACCTATAGATCACGTAGATGGTCTATATAAAGATTGTGACTGAACCAATCTCTGAAGTCAAAGCTAGGACTATCCTGAGTTGGTAACTTTGCTTATAGCAATAAGAAGAGTAGATCCAATCGACTGATAGAGTACCTCTGAAATCCACAAGTACTGGACAGTAAAGGAGAGGCCCTGTCCTAACTACTGGGAGGCCTTGGTGGGAAGGGAAACCTGTGGATCACTCCGAAGGATCAAAAGACTGGATCCAGGATAAAAAAATTCGATAGTTTGATAACTAGCCTGCTCTTGGGACTGGTTATGAAAAAAATTGTGCTAGGAATAATCAAGACGGAATTGCATGACTTTCCAATAAGGTAGTACTTATACATATAGTATAGTCCATATAACTAACTAATATTGACAAGGATATTAAGAATAGTTGATGTATATAGTACTTATTTAACGTATATAGTGTATAACAAAGTAATATATATCCTTTTTTTTTTTTTTTTATAATAACCCTCTGTCAGGTTAGTTAAGTGTGCTTTATTAAACCTTTGTAAACTATACAT